TGCGTGGTGAGATTGCATATACATGTGGATCAGATGAACCGCTTGTAAGCGTTCGTCATGAACCCACCTCTCATGTGGGCTCTTCGGGAAGTTCTGTGTGGACTGCACTGTTAACTGGTTATTGGAGCAGTGTTGTCCTTTCTTCCGTCCACAAAATAAGGCAGGTGCTATTCCGCCCGACAACGCTAAATATTAGAAAGGCATTCAGTTCTGGTTTGCAACAGTCTGACATTAGAATACTTATGCTGAGTTATCGACCCATTTAGGAGGCACTGGTTAAGCAACGCCTTAGTGAAAACATTGCTTAAATTGACAGCACTAGACGTTTCAAGCTGCGCTTGTACTTACCAGAGTCTCGTATAGGAGGTAAAGACCCTACACTGATCATGGCTATACTTTTCTTCGCTAAACTGACATTCATGATGTATCATCTATTCATAATTGCTGCCGGTCTAATTTTCAGTGACGCCATTGTGAACCTTGTCCTGAAGTTAAAGCGGCTAGATTTAACTACAGTGTTCCACCAGCCCATGGTTTTGGCATGTGCAGTGCAGTGTCAGAGCGGAGTGATGAAAGTAGAGTTCTTGAATGCAATATTCCGAAATAATGAGCACCAAACGTTGCAGTAGCTGTATCACTTAGATCATTTTGCAATATATGAATAAAATGATCGGTGAAAGTGATAAGGTCTGAAATTCGTACAAACGCATTGCTTTATTGATTTCAGAACGTTATGGAGACCTTCCGCTTCCTCAAGATCGTCGAAGGTTTTACCGCTGCCGTGGAGACGTTGTCACAGTTATAGACTGCGGCAAGAACTATTTCTTTGATCCCAAAAGACGATACTGTGTTCCAGAAATGAAAGGCAGGTTGACCCGGGGGCGCATCGAACTGTTTCAAATGGGCTATGCATCGCTTACGATCTCCGAACGAAGACGCCTTTACTGAAATCAGTTCTCGAGTGACCCAGTAAACTTCGGAACCAGCTGATCGAAGTTTCTCGTAAATGGGTACATGCACATAAAGATATAAGCAAAGGTAGCAATCACAAGGGAACTGGCTAAACGTAATAGCCACTTCCTTGATCATAGTTCAGAGGAGGAAAACCTTCTAGTCTTTGAGATAGAGAGAGAGAGAGAGAGAGAGAGAGAGAGAGAGAGAGAGAGAGAGAGAGAGAGAGAGAGAGAGAGAGAGAGAGAGAGAGAGAGAGAGAGAGAGAGAGAGAGAGAGAGAGGAGAGAGAGGAGAGAGAGAGAGAGAGAGAGAGAGAGCAGAGAGAGTAGAGGAGAGAGAGAGAGAAGAGGAGATGCGATAGAGGAGAGAGAAGAGCTCTAGAGAGAGGAGAGAGCAGAGGGGCGCGCGAGAGAGAGAGAGAGAGCGAGATAGCGAGAGAGAGCGAGCGCTCGCGCGAGAGAGCTCGAGCCGCGCTGCTGATAGCCTTTTCGCGCGAAGCCGCCTCGCGATCGCGTCTCCGCGCGGAAGGCGAGAGAGCTCGATCTCTGGTCTCTCGAATACACTTCCTCGGCTCCTCGTTTAGCGAGTAGAGTTGAGAGAGAGAGAACTTAATTAATTAAGATTTAGTCTTGGTGGCATTGAATTAAAAAAAAACACCAGTAGCGTGTCCAAGACAGCGCAATTTCGTATACATTCGTCGCCTCCAACTCGCCAGAGACGACCAAAGAGAACAAGACAAAGCCAGCGGAGGAGCAGGCGGCAACCGCCGTCCCCAGCCTCCCACCTCCATGTGAGTTATCATTCAAGAACGCTGACATGTGGATGCCATCCTCAATATTCATGGTTAGGCGTTTGTTTTTTTGTTGTTGTAAATCTTTGATATTAAATCACACACACACGCACACACGCATGCACGCACGCACACACACACGCACACACACACACACACACACACACACACACACACACACACACACACACACACACACACACACACACACACACACACACACACACACTCACACACACACACACACACAACCAATCAGTTCTTGTGTTCATCTTCATAATTCTACCCGTGCCGTTTGAGGGGCTGACTGAGACGTGCCGATACTGACAGATGGCTGGGTATGCACCGGGCAAGTGCCGACTTCCGACTGGGACAGCACCACCACCTCGATGGACCAGTGCTGGAAGAAGGCACTCGCTCTGAACTCCGCACTTCTGGTGGTAGGACCCTCTGGCTGTCAATACTGGCCGACGCTTTCTATAAAAGTCACCGCCGAGAACTGCTCCAGCACGTCCATCCACGTTCTGCAAGTGGGCGCCTTTCGGAAGGACCTAACTCGTCTGAGGCCAGGTGGGCACTGAACCACCGGATGTCATTTTATGATGCGTTGCACCATTTCTGTTCACGTACGCTACTGTAAGCTATTGCGGCCCCATCATAGTGCCAGTGCCTTTCAATGGCATGCACGATTTGTATAGCACATTTGGGGGGCACATACCAACTTTTTCTGGCTAAGGTAACACGTCACCTTCATCCTCAGAGTCCGAGGTTTGGATTACAGCCAAGCGAGCGGCCGGGGTAACCTGGCAATCCGTTGATGAGAGTCCTGTCGATGGGACAACACTGCCAGACTGCGTCGAGCGCTGTATGAAGATAGCCAGCGACTTCGCCCGCGTTGAGAGGTGAGCAAAATTTTAATATTGATTTCGAACCGATGCGGTTTTATAGAAAGGCAGCAAGGATCACAGCCCTACAGCCCTTGAGATTTTCATGCACCGGTTGATGTAGTTAAGCATCTGTACATGTACATAGAAATAAACAACTGATGGGAGACTTGTGGCCTATTGGATGCTAATACTGCCGTAGCCGCGACCGGAACTCTATGTTCCACAAGGCAAAACGAACGCCATGCACGTCATCGCGGCCTCTTTTATGGATTCCTCATTTGTGTAGGGTTTCAAAATGACAGCCATTTTGAATATCATTTAGTGCAGTTCACAGCCATGTCCTTGTGAAAGTATAGACCGCTCTTATCTCTGAGCCTAACCCCGCGAACTTGTACAGACTTTTCCGTGCACGCCATTTCAAGGTCACCCAGACATGCATGACGCCGTACAAATGTGATACAACTACTGCCATCTCATTGCACATCTCGTGTTTAAGGTCATCGAATAATTCGTGTCTGGCGTACGTCAGCACGGTTTCTGGCATCAACAGAGAGCAAAAGACTGGCAACAGACAGGCGTCAACTTTTTAGTAAACATCCTTCCCAATACTCGAATACTCCCCCCCCCAAATACTCCCTGTGTCGTGTAGCACAAGACGTAGTTCGTATCTGAAGCCTACACTGAGTACTAAACACTGATTAAGAGCCAAATGAAGCCCGTTGTATCTGGAAACCGTGCTCACGTACGCTAGGCATGGATGACCGGGCCATTAAATATGACTTGGCTTTGAATGCGGCATAGCCAAGGTGATGGTAGCATTCGAATGACGTTTCTATGACGTTACACATGTTTGAGTGTCCTTTAAATGATTTACACAAAATGGTCTGTAAACTTGGCGAGCGTACAGCTCGGAAATTTGAGCTTTTTTAAGCTTTAAAGAAGTGCTTCAAATTTATATGGGATCTTGAACTGAAATGCTCATTTCAAAGATTATTCGGTGCAGTTCATAGCCCTGCCCTTCGAGTCTTTAAGACCTAAACCCATCTAGTTTCTGGCCACACGCCGGCGAAAATGTGCAGACTTATTCGGGGAGACTATTTCAAGGCCCCCCAGGCATCCATGACGCCATCATAAAGCTCTTCCAATCTTGTCATTTCGTTACCCATGCAGCGATCAAGGTCAATACAAATTTAATTAACATCTGGCGTTCGTGAACACGACTTCGAGATGCAAAGGACGCCAATTGGTTCACAAAAGATGTCGTGCAAGGCACACTGACATATTGAGAGGCGTATTTACTTGACAAACAAATTGTGTTGTCTAGAGCAGTCTTTTTTTGCTTAAAAGTATACCAATGGATGCAAATGAGCTTACTTCATTTTACCTGATGCTGGCGTCAATATATTCAAATGTGAAACGTTCTGTTTGAGAAAGGCGGGGCTGTGAACTGCACAGAATGATCAGCAAGATCGCTGCCAGTTCAAAACTCTATTCAAATGTTTAACCTTCCTTTAAAAATAGTGTCAACACTGAGCATGCAAATGTAAGTAATCAAAATGAAATGATAGACAAATATGCAATATTTGTCGTATCGCTAGAAAGGACCAAACTACGAGCGCATGACGATATTCCGCACCACAAACAGGCTTAAACGACATATCGCTACCTTTCGGTAAGTTCAGTAAGGTAGGTACTTCTGCTTACTTGTAAGTACCACAAATGAGCCAGCCTGTCGCCGCGTTAGGAATTTTGACGCGGCCTGTCTGGTAGCCTCTCTGACGTCATGAAAACGCTCCATAACGTAGTTAAATGATGACGCATTGATGAGCTTATTTATTAAACACGAAATTTTCGCTGTTTAGAGAAATTTTGCATTTTAAAGCATACCAATAGTTGGAAGTGAGTTCATGCCATCATATCTGATGTTTGCCAGAATATCTCCAAATGTGGAACATCCCTTTAATAGCAAACCAGGAATTATAAGTGGGCTTATTTCATCATATCCAATACTCGCATCAATGTCCTCAAATTTGGAGCATTCCCTTTAACTTGCAGGGAGCACGTCTCAGCAGGAATGCTTCCCGGGTGTTCCGCTTACATGCGGAAAAATATGCCCAGCTGTAACGAAGAGGAAAGTATGCAAAGGGCAGCCACATGGATCGATGTTAATTGCTGATTATTGTAGCTGCTGACAATGTTGATTGCTACATAACTGGTTGCAATATTGCGTATATATATATATATATATATATATATATATATATATATATATATATATATACATGCCATGTAGCGACAACATCCGCTATTGCCATGGCGGGGCGGCGTGCTGACTAATCCGGCCCCCTCATGAGCTATGCTCGTCCCCAGCCAAGGGTGCTCGTGCGGCGAGCAGTCCGGTCCGAGCGCCGCCGTCCATCACGAGGACGTGCACTTTGGCCGGACACCGCTGGCGGATGTCGACCCGGGCTTCACGCTGCGTGTGCGGTTTGGTCGAGCTGACTGTCCGCTGAGCGAGGCGGACAGCGCCGCCGACAAGCTGCCAGACTGCGATAAACAGCTGAAACCGAACGCTACAGAGAGGTGAGGCTCTAGAGCTTCCTCCACGCTTCGCAGCGGTCACCAGCCGTGTGTGCTTTGCTGTTCACGTGACAGGCGTCTGGGCCAGAGGGCAGCGGTTCAGTGCATGCACTTGCACGGTGAAGGTATTCCACCCTGGGTACAGTAGATCTGATTTTGTTTTATGCCATTGGAGAAACGCTTACATATTTTCATAATGAATGCAGTGAATGCGCAAAAACTTACATATTCTGCTGTATAACACTTAGCGAATTTACTTTTTAGAATCTGCAGTGGGCGGGCTCTCTAGAATGTAATCTGCCAGCCCATCCGTCATTTTTAGGGTTTTGAATCCAATTCTCCCTGGTCCGGCTAGCCAACATGTTCATTAAAAATGTCCGCCCAAATCCATCTTGAAGATTTGTTTACCCTGTTATCGTAAAGAGATAAATATCGCACATCTCATAGCAGGAATTGGCTTCTCTTTAACTTATCCATTATATGTAAAGAATATCAATACATTTAGGTTGATTTGGATTCGTTTGGCCTCAAAATGACGCAAGTTTTGAAGTGCATTGTTGAGGAACATTATGCACATATATAAGGCGGTAGTGACAGCATTATTCGTCGTAAAAAACAGGAGAATGGAAATATAGATGCGTTGGTATTTCGGCAGCATGCCCTTATCGAAATGAGTAGCAGAGGTAACTTAAAATTTGCCTGCCGATGATTCTGCTCGACTTGTTAGATTTAAGAAACAGACAAGTATAAGAAGCTGATAAAAAACATGCAAACTCAAGTACAATCATTGACAGGCAACTTTGGATTTACTTCTGCGATTCGCTTTGAGGAAGACATAATGCCAAATGTCATCCCATCTTTATCTTCATTCTCCTGGTTTTTGTACATGGAATAAGGCTATTACTACTATCTTATTGATGGGCCTCAAAATATTTTTTTACTTGAAACGTCCTGCCTTTTCTAAGAATGTGCATATGTTATACTGCATGTAGTGTTAGCAATGTACAAGATTGCGAGTTCCCTCATAGGTCCAGTAAATTTTCATTTGATTTCTTTTCGGCTCGGAGAGACAGGTTCTCGTTCTCTGACGTTCTAAACCTTGACCCTCTATCGCCTTAAATTATAATGACCATATTTTCTCGCTTTTTTTGTATTACGCCAGTATTACGTATTATTAGTCATCTATTAATACGTATTATTACGTATTTACGTATTACGTATTTACGTATTTACGTATTAATACGTATTTACGTATTATAAATAATCTTGGCACTAGCGTCTCCTGCGAAAGTGTGTTTTGGAAAGACATTACAGCTTTTTTGCATTGAAGTTAGGTGAATACTGGGGGATGATTTATGAATACTAAAAACTACATTTAAAATAGGGAATACGTTAGAATGCTTTATTTACATTACATTTTTTAGTTTTTCGTTGTGATTCCCCAAATCTCATGCAGTTGTACTGTGGCAGTGGTGTCACCTATTGTTCCCGGAGTCTTCTGTCGTCTTGGCGATTTGATGTACTGTCACTATGCCTCACCTAAGACATATTTGCAAGCAACTCAAACTTGACCCGCGCCGACCAGGGGTCGGAGACAACCACACCCGGCCAGGAGAAGTCGATTTCTCCACTGAAATCCTCATTTTCTAGACGCTGTGTTTCAAAGGTCACGTCAAATCATGACGAATGCACGCTCAATTTGAGCTTTTAGTTTAGGTATGAGGTTACCAGTGGTCACCAAAGGTAAAAAGATGCTGATAGATGCACTTAAAATCTATGTCAACTTGTCATGACGGATATTATATATCCGCAAGAGGCTAAGCGTGGTCAAAGGTTTAAAAGGTGGACCTATTTGACCTGACTTAGGTACCTGCTCCTGGTAGCTCAAAACTTCAATTTGAACAAAGGATACTAAACTAATAGATGTGCAGGCTTCACTCATAACACAACTTTTATTATATATGGGATGAGAAGTGAGACATGCTCTTTAATCTGCTAGTTATGCGGAAATAATTCTCGTAATCGAATAAGTTGAGAATAACGCCATAACCAAGTGTATGAATGCAAGAAAACATGTTTAACTCACTGATGAATATGCAGGAACACCAGAGAAGGGACAAAATACGAATACATAACGATATTTGGCCCAGCGAACACTCCCAGGCAGTGCTGCTATCTCTCGACGAGTTTGAAGTACGAATGGCAATATCGCACCGGTAGTGTTGCAGCACCTCATGTCAAGCAACCTTCTATGACGCAATCGAACAATGCTGTATTTTTTAGCATATTTGCTAAATAGAGAACATTTGTTATTGAGGGCAGCCTTTTCCATTTTTTAGTACGCAATACTTATAACTCACCCTATTTCATCACATGTTTGCTTAAATATCTTCTCGTGATGAACACTCACTTTAATACCATTAAAATCAAACGCGACGCATACTCATGGAACATCAAGCCTGATGTTCGCTCCAGTATCTTCTCGTGATGAACACTCACTTTAATACCATTAAAATCAAACGTGACGCTTACTCTTGGGATTTGTTGGTGCTGGCCGGTTTGGGGCTGGTGTCTAGCTAACCAGGGACCGGCGGCTAGCAGGCAGGCTGATTTCGAGGTAATGATGGCTGATGACTAATGCAAATTGTCATAATTGGTTCTACGTGTTTTTGTGAAATTCCACCGGCTCAATGACCATGGTCTGAAGAACCTTACTATCTTTAGGGTGAACGAAGGAAATAAATGTTGCTAATAAAATATTGTCATCGCATGCCAACTAACGAAAACCGCACCTGGGTTTCATGATGTAGTCGCCTGACCTTCACAAACTAAAATTATTCACAATTATAACCATAATGATATATTATGGAACGCATATGTTGTAATTCTTGGATACTATAGCTATAATAATAGAATTGTTCACAAAATAGCCGGAGAACTGTTATTGCAGATATATTTTCTCAACCGCATTAACGGTGATCACTGTACTTAACGAACTTCGTCCCTTTCCAGGTTGCGGGCATGCGCTTTTAGCAGGAGACTAAAGCGTCGTTTGACACGGGCAGGGTGTGAAAAGCGCAAGGCGTTCACGATCAAAAACAGATCGCTGACAGGACTGACATCGGAACACGCAAGAAATATCAAGACAACGTACCTTTATAGAGAAGGCACATACAAATCCTTTTCGAGGCAGAAAAGATGGATGCTTTTGACGCATGCCTATATATATCTATAAACTGGATTATATCGGGAGCAACGTTTCTCTCATGCTTTGTTGGTTGGGGAGCACAGCGTGTCTTTGAGCAAGGTCATAACATTTCGCGTTTTTGACCTACTTGCTCGTTGTAAAAACGTCCAAGAGGATGTAAACATGGAATTTTCTCTGATATGCAATAAACTATATATATATATATATATATATATATATATATATATATATATATATATATGGGGTGGGGTGGGGTGTGTGGGTGTGGGTGTGGGCGTGGGTGTGGGTGTGCGGGGTGTGGGTGTGGGTGTGGTGTATGCGTGCGTGCGTGCGTGCGCGCGTGTGTGTGTGCGGCTTTAGGGCGCGTCAACTACGCTGGTTATCTGCACCCGGTACCTTGAAAGCCCGAAGTTCCTACATGCCTATGTTTCATGTGTTTATGCCATGACTTGATGACCTGCCGTGGGTTTCAGACTTAAGGCTATGGTGGGTCTCCAAAATCCCCCTCCGGCTAGTTTGGCGATCTCCTGGATACGTCACTACTTTGGAAGGGTGCATGGAGGCATGCACGGATCGCTTTGTAATAGCTGGGCCGTGAGTGCTAGTTTTAAGTTGAGCCGTCCCGTTTAAAGCTGTTATTTTCCAATCTGACTGCCGTATTGTATTGTGTTGCATTGGATGGGATTGTGTCGTATTGTATTGTGTTGCATTGGATGGGATTGTGTCGTATTGTATTGTGTTGCATTGGATGGGATTGTGTCGTATTGTATTGTGTTGCATTGGATGGGATTGTGTCGTATTGTATTGTGTTGCATTGGATGGGATTGTGTCGTATTGCATTGTGTTGCATTGGATGGGATTGTGTCGTATTGTATTGCTCGTCCTGAGTGTCCACACGTCGTCGACATTGAGCTTTACGACGCACTCAGCCGCTGAGGCTACATGGCGTCGCCTGCCGTCACCCTGGCAGGGTTGGCTGCCATTGCGGAGAATCGAACCCCGCACCCCTAGTTTCCTAGGTGCGCAATAGTTAACGCAGGCGCGTTAAAGGAAGTGATCCACATTTGTATGGGATTTTGAACTGGAATAGCTATGCTGAACCTTTCGATACCGCTCACGGTCATGTCCTTTTTTAAGACATAAAACTTTCTGGCTCCTGAGCCGAAAGGGCGTTAAATTTTGTAGAGTATTGGTGGGAGGGACTTCAGGGTCACCTTGGGATGTATGACATCATAATAACGTCATTAAAATGCTGTTATTCCATTATCTATTTGTCGACCAAGACCAAGAAAGATAAAATTGTCGGGTCGTTCATATCTGCTGCTCGTGAGCACAATTTCCAGAAAGCAGGGCCGCCAATCGGCTCCTAATTAACGTTGTACAAGGTACAATGACGCAATCTAACAAACACGTATTGAGGAACATATTTACTCAATAGAGAAATTGTGGTGTCTGGGGCAGTTTTTCCACTTAAAAGTATATAACACTTATGAGTGATAATTTTTAACGTATTCCATGCTTGATTCAATATCTTCAAATGTGGAGCACTCCCTTTAATCACTACCTTATCGGCACCCCCGGGTATTCAAACGGTTAGCGTCTATCATTGTTCAGCGTGAACAGAACAATCAAGATCTATATCCTGATAGGTGGATATCACAGGGAGTATCACAGGCAGACCGTAGACGATGGCTTTCGCACTTCCAATTCTATGACACAATTGCCATCCAAAGTAAACGCATCTCTTTGACCTTGGATGATTTATGAACAGGCCGCCGCTCATGCTCACCTGTCTTATACCCATAATTGCGTCAAGGCTCGCCCACTTCACGTTAAGATGGTTCACATATCACGTAAATAAAGAGACCAGAACAGATATGAACACCAAGGTGCCGCTCTAATTGGCACGGCACGTGACCTTGGCCGTACCTGACGAGGCGCGCGTAACATTGAATACCTTCCCATGTAGCACGCTTGATCAAAGCGCAGTAAATCCACACAAAGAGATGCGCTTCTAAATGAAATACGTCGTGGGAGTGGGCAGATATTCCAAAGCGGCATTGTTTCAGAATTTGACCTTGGCCTATGACCTTAATACAAACTTAAAATCAAGTTTGTTGCGTGGTTTGAGACTGCACGCTACGGTGCTATCGGTTGCGATTTAACTTTGTGAATTCGGTCCAGCCATTCTTGAGATAAACAGGGGAGGAGTGAAATCTGTCCCCGCCAGCCAATGGTGTGCTGCTGAGGAGCCCGGTCAATGTCGGGTTAACTGCTGGCGGATGCACCCAGAATGACCTGCGCCTGTGGAAGCCTCAAGGAGGATGACCCTGAATTCGACGTTGAAACATGGGTGGAAGCTCAAAGCAGCAAGCCGCTCTCACCCGGAGAAGGGTTCCTGCTTCACGACAGAGAAGCGTTCGTTAATGGTATGTGCGTCCAGACCCTGTCAAAGAAAGTTTGATTTCAGATTATGAATAAAAGGATGCGAAGCGGTGTCTGTTTATTTCGTTGGCTTCTAGGAGTGACCATGTGCCCTAAAAACACTGGTAATACTTAATCAATGAGAAACAGTTGGTGCTTTTTTACATCTTTTAGAATCAAGAGAACTCGATAGGTTAGCGCTTTGCGGACTCTGCGATGCGTGTAGATGCATGATGCAATGCATGGTGTAATGTATGAGCATTCGCATGCAGTGCAGTGTAAATGCAAAGCAGGCAGTGCCACAACGTTCGCAAATCCCGATTAACTGTATCGCTCTCCAGTTCCAGGGGGATGGAGCTGCGCAACGGAGCCAGTGAGCTGGTCGAAACACCCCGTCAGGCTGTTCCGGCACTGCCTGGACGCCTGCAGTGCAGCTAAGACAGAATTCGCTGCTTTTGGAAAGTAAGCACTGTGATGCAACCATCCAGCTTCCTTGGATTCTTGCGTTCATCAAGACCAGCATACATTCGGACTAACTTGTGCGCATGCCAGTGCCAGTAAGACAAGGTGTGGCGTGGCACGAGGCAGGGAACTACAGGGCTGAAAATTCGCGATGAATATCACTATACCGATGATACCGAATTTTAGCTGATGGAGCTTGCAGATCCAACCTCGCAAATCCTTACGAGTGGAAGGTAGCATGCCCATGTAACGGAAGGTGTAATGAAGTTTACCGGGCCGCGGTTCACTTACGTAGAGCTCGCCCTTTTGTTGACAACGTGCATCGCTTGCAAGTTGTCCGGCTGTGTCTGGCTATGACATGCATTTTTAATTTAATTAGTAACGCTCAGGCACACAGCAAGAGCATTGGCAAGGGCAGGGCACAGCGTAGCGTTCGGTGGCGGCATCACCAGCACGACAAACGGGAGGGCCTGAAACAGAGCCCTAAGTGCGTACCACCTCAGCATTGCCGATTATTGCCGTGCTGCTGCATGTCTTCTACTTCATGGCAACAAGTCATACAAAGAGTTGAGCAATTACCTGCAGTCAGCCTGGAGGGGCGGTGCAGGGAAACAGCACAGAAACGATTGTGACAAGGGACACGGTATTGAGCGTCGACAGAAAATTTTGTGTTGTTTAACCTGTACCCAGCTGCGTTGGCCTTGCTGCCTTTCGCCTTACACTATTTCCTAGACACAGACAGTCTTGCTTCAAGTCAAGTCACTATGATGGGACTTCAGGAACTTTTGGAAAATCGCGAATGAGCGCGCAAAGACCTCTTTTTTCATTGTTTCTACTCCCGGATATCAATCTAAAGGAGCACGATTTGTGAGCTAAGATACCACATCCTGGCAGAGTCGCCTGACACTCGAAGCGTATCGCTTTGCAGCGACGAGTTTCCAAATGGACACTTAAGTTCATCGCAGCCGACAGAACATGTCTATGCATGCATTGCAGTCTCATATACACATACGCCGTGTATATAACACATTAGTCCATATTATTATGGTTTGCAACACTGCTGCTGCTAGTTGTACCTTTTTGAGTAGTACGGGAAGACAATAAACGGCATATATCAGGTTATTTTAAATCAAGTTTGGCCTTTTGCTTGCGATTTGGCCTTGACGTTGACCGCATACATTAAAATGACTGCAAAAACTGGCTTCATGCCATCGAAAATCTCCCTTAAATAATATCACAAGACCCTCCATATCGCCAAGGTAAACTTTGAAACTGGACCGGCATTCAACATAGTAGCAGCGGCCATTTTGAGTTCTGGGAAATGTGTAAAGTTGCGGAAGTAACAATCAGATTAACTTTGCTCTCGTAGCTACATCCAACTAGTTACACAAAATATTTCCGTCAAAAGGCCGCGACGGCAACTCGACTACACGTACCTATCCGCGTGAAAAGCGTGTTTTATAGGGCATGCATTGGGTATGGAGCGCATCCTTACAAAATTATAGTATATAGCATATGCAGCTTTTGTGAGTGGTACCCTTGCAATGAGTACGCAAAGACGACAAACGCCATACGTCGATCAATACAAAGAATTTGGTGGCTTATGATTAAGTTCAACTTTAAGAATTCGATTTGACCTTAGTTTTGACCTCTTACATGACTAATAACTGCATAAATGTACTCCCTACCATAGAAAAACCCAAACTGGTGTCACACGAACCTCCAAGCCATCGAGAAAAAAACTTTGAAACTGGATACTCAGGGATGAAATTCAATATGGCGGCGGTCGCAATCTTGATTTCCTAAAAATGCTCGAGGCTGCACAGGTAGCAATTAAGCGAATTTGGATATCCTGGCTACGTAAAACATATTTCCTGAAAGAAAGTTCGCGGCAGTCAACATTCCAGGCTCTCATATAAGAAGCATAAGGATGGTAACTCGAGTAAAACCAGCATTTTTTTATGTTGAAGATTTAAGATTTGACTTGATTCGAACCTTTTGAATGGATGGAATCAAATGGATTTTTCATTGTATTAAATTTTAACAACAAAAGAGAATCGAATGAAATTTCTGGGAAAGCACAGCCCACGCTAAGCAGTCCTTGTTGTATGAGCCATGACCCCTATCATCCGATCGCGCAATTCCAGGCATCAGCAGAATGTGGTAGCGAAAGTTAAACGCGCCGCAATGCTCGGCACGGTCTGGGCTGCCCTGTGACGTCAACTGACCTTTAGCGCGACCGCTGCCACCGACCGCAGGCCATACCTGTGAAGGGCAAATAGCGAGCGTCTAAAGCGAGTTGAGTCCACTTCGCCACGGGTGTCAGGACCCGAAAGCAGGCGCTCTGACCAACTGAGCCACCGGGGCGGGAGTCCAATTATTTAAGCATTGCTCCTTTCAGCAGTATAAAAATAAAACTGAAATAGGCTGGTTGCTTCCATGGGCTGCTCATTAATATATTCTGTGCATTAGGCGGATGTCAACCATGTAGTGAATTCTGAATACTCTTGTTGCTTTCTGTGAGAGGTGATAACGATGCGTTTGATTTCATTCTGGCTCATAGGGGCGGATGCAGATGCGGAAACGCCACAGCTGCCGGACCTGGCTTCCGGCCTCTACCAATGTCGTTCTGCAACGAGCACGTGGATGGAGTAGAAGCCTACTCAGTGCTGGCTGTGATTACCTGGGGCAAAATAAAGAAGACTGGCGCCACGCGTATGTTACTTGAAACATGCACAGGCATTCTGCTATGTATGTTTTATGTCTATAGTAAAGGTGAAGACGATTAATAGATGTAATGAACACCAATGTCTTCTGGCAAAATGACGGTCATCATCCTAAGAGTTTCGATGGCACTGAAGTTGTTATGAATGTAAAGAGCCTTGGCATGTGCAATTGCGCACCGTCATGCTTTGAATGTTGAAATGGATAAACCTGTGCCGTTTTGTTCCATGCTCGCAATTCTTCAGCCGCAAAACACTGGCTTTGGGCCAACAGAAGACCAAAAAGCATCACCTGGAATAAGGAGCCCAACATGCCTTTCATCGAGGATTGCTGGCGCGCGTGTTTTGAAAAGGGCACCGCTACATGGATGTCCATCGGAGTGTAAGCAAACATGTAATGTGTGACTAGGCACAGCACAGGTTTCAAATGGCATGCAACGAAAGGTGTATCTAACGACGCTTTACAAACTTGTGCTTCTTTGTTCTCGAGGCTAGTTAATGGGCGCTCAATGCAATTTGTATGGAAAAATGAGGATAGATTGACTACTTCCAAGCGCTAGAACAGGTGCCGATCCCATAGCGGCATTGTTCCAATAACACGAAGTAATGAGCTGACAGGCAAATAACTCAGAAATTGATTCGACACGTCCAGATTCAGGACGATAAACACCGATGCGATTTTCGCCAGGGCTACGATATTTAAGCAGCCCGGATTATTCGTATTAGAACTTTTGCAACGCATTCAGGTGTTGTCAAGCACATCGTGAAAATGACGAATTCGATTGGCATTGTTTCATGACCCCACTTTCCTGGAGCTATAAATGTATATAGATATATATATATATATATATATATATATATATATATATATATATATATGCTTTATTTCCGTTTTCATTGTAATAAACTGAACATACTTCCGAGCAGTTGAAACATCCATCATTTCTTTACAGCATGCAATTTTTTAAAGCCTAACCTGTGGTTTACTGAGATGAGGAGCTAGACTGAAATAATGCACATCTTAGTGATGGCCCATTTAAACTTCCAAGTCCTTTCTGATTTGCACTGGAAGACTGACATCACAGCGTTTAAGCTGCACGGCGGTACCAAAGAAAATTCATGGGTTCAGGTGCTTTGCTCACTGCTGTTTTAGCAACATTACTGGCATATGGCACAACATGATCTGCATTAGATGGCAGGGGCACGCTATGTTATGCTTACTATGCATGCGTCTTAAGTGTAGCAGCTTTGGTTTTGAACCAATAAAAAGAAGTGCATCAGCTGCAACAAAATACAAATTAATAAGAATGACAGCAACTTGCATTTAACACAATATATGCCGGCCAAGCCCTCACCCTAGGCCAGCATTATAACTCAGCTGGTTTTTGTGGGTTTGATCCCCAACTGACCGAGGCGGTTCGGTCTGCGGGCGGACATTTTGGAAAGAAGATGCGTCTCTGGTCCACTCACACGACAGAGGATACACAGACGTGCGCTCACGCACGCACGCACAGATATGATATTTGGAGAGATTTGGCATGCGCACATGATGGCACTTTAACGCAGATCGCCCAAATTCGTTTAGGATAGTCGTGAAATGTGTCCAATGCATTTGCACCTGGTGTCTGCGGGCACTTCGGACTGCTAATCTCTACAGGTTACGTACCTGGCAGTCAATGAGCATTTGCGTGTCTGACTGATGTGTCTCGTAAGACGCATTGTAAATAAACACATGGTTAAATCCAGGAAAATCAGAAAAAGGTTTTCCTGGCGAATCGTTCGTCTATCGCACGTTTTAGTTGTCCTGGCAGGTTAAAATGTGAAAATGCGTAAGAAAGTGGACACAAGCTCAACTTTTTCGAAGAGTATCTCGCTCCGGAAGAAAAGGACATTAGTTCAACTGCGTTGCGAAAAGCGTTGCATGTTGGCGTAAGTAGCAGATCAAGCACATCTCATTGCTTGTGTTCCGCTGTTGGCGTAGCAGTTAATATTTCTTCGGCATGCCCTTGTGTGCTGCTGTTTTTGTCGTAGCAGTCCATATTCCTCTGACTTGTCTTTGTGTGCTGTGTTTGGCGTATCAGTTCATATTCCTTTGACTTGTCCTTGCGTGATGCTTTTGGCGTAGCAGGTCATGTTCCTTTGACTTGTCCTTGTGTGCTGTTTTCGGCGTGACGGTTCATGTTCCTTTGACTTGTCCTTGTGTGCTGTTTTTGATGTAGCAGTTCATGCTTCTTTGACTTGTCCTTGTGTGCTGTTTTCGGCGTAGCAGTCCATGTTCCTTTGACTTGTTCTTGTGTGCTGTTTTCGGCGTAGCAGTTGGTGTTTCTTTGACTTGTCCTTGTGTGCTGTTTTCGGCGTGGCAGTTCATGTTCCTTTGACTTGTCCTTGTGTGCTGTTTTCGGCGTAGCAGTTGATGTTCCTTTGACTTGTCCTTGTGTGCTGTTTTCGGCGTAGCAGTCCACGTTTCTTTGACTGGCCCTTGCAGGACGGGCTGCGAATGCGGGACAGCTGACAGCGCCGTAGTGGAAGATGGCTTGGACTGGAAGATCGCCTCACAACCCGAATCTGACCAGGGCTACCCAGCAGCCCGCGGGTTCGTGTTGATGAGCAAGAAGGAGGGCACACGAAGTAAGAGACACGTCAGGCGGCGAGTGGCCAGCGGTCGTGTTGGATCGCAGCGGAAAGCCGTAAAGTAAACCTTCAATGGGACAGAGATCATCGTACTTTGCATTATATAATATATTATAAAGATATAAGGTCACTCATGAGTTCAGAGGAGGCCGGCGGTTCACTTTTTTCACGCAGTACAAGATCACAGTCCTTATGCTAACAACTATTGACCGCTAACATATCAGGAGATGCCGGTTAGACGACCTTAACCACAAGTATTTTTTTGCGGGGAGGGGGTGGCAATGCTCCGTGTTTTAAGCTTGACATCAAATAATATTTCAACGACTGGAAATGTTCTTCTGGCGCCGGCATCAGCCTTCAGACATTGGTGTCATCGGTCGCATTTTATTCGCTTGCTCCTTCCGGCAAGATCCGTGGTGCGCCTGCTAATCAGGATGGCGCTAATATTTAAATCGTTGTTGGTGTGGTTTCTTCAAAGGTCATGTACAAAGTAAGCTAATTGGCGCTCTCGCCGTGTGCTTCATTGTATTTTGCTGCGCACAAAACATTTCACTGAACCGATATTGCTGTTCTGTGATGACGGCGTTGAGTTTTGGCATCAAACCATGTTAGTGAAAACTGAGATGAAGGGTATACAACGTTCAGTCAGATTTCTTTGAAAATTAATTGTCATCCCTTATAACTGAACTAATCGTAAAGCTGATGGACAGATCATCCGCGATGTGAAAAACAATGCACACACTGAATGGTTGCCGGCCGACTTAAGTTATGGCTTATACGAAACGCACCGCCTGTAGCGTGCTGTATTTACAGATTTCGTGCCCCACAAGTTCACCTGGATACAGACAGCATTAAATACTGGGAAGCGTGCGGAACTTGAAGACAAGCCGGTAACGAAGTGGGTCCCCGGTGCACTGGGTAAGATGCGCCACGCGTCTTCTCGTATAGGAAACTATGGTCGTCATTTTACGGTGTGGTTTGCTGTGTTATGGTGTATCAAATTACAACACACTATAAGGTGAAAATGTGCAATATCTTGGGTCTATTTTTGGTTACAGTGTGCAAAGGAGTGTGCCACGAGTTTTGGCACATTTATATCAAGATTTAGAGGTGTAACTAAGGAGGCTGCATTTCAGAAAAAGCGAACTTTCAGGAACTTAGCGTTTCCAGAACGGTTTTGTGAACAAATACGTCAGTTCAACATTGCATTCTGCAAATAACGCGAAATCATTTTGGAAAACAATAAACCGAACAATAGCAATTAAAAGCTGCGATTCACATTAACAGTCCTTGTCCTGATCTGTGCGAGGCTTGCACTGCTGGAGGCGAAGACCTGGCTGCTTTCGTCGGTCATGCTGCAGCAGTGAGCCAGCAGGCTCCCTGGAGCACATTCCAGAAGTGCTGCTCGATCTGGCATAATCAGTCTATGTCCTCGTCCGCTTTTCGCCGCTAAGGCGAAAAGCGGGGACGGTCGGGAACGGGGACGGTCATGTTCAATGCCCATTCCTCTATTTTTTTTTGGGAGGGGGATTTCGGCTGGGTCATTGCCGACGTTGATGCCACGCACGTTCGTCAGGCCCGTCTGGAAAACCGTTATGACTCACGGCTTGACGTTAGCGGTAGAAAAGCCGAATCGATGCACAGGCGCTCCGTGCCAAACTAGCGGTCTGAACTTGCGAGGTCTGCCCCCCAAGAGGTCGGCGAGTGCTGGAAGCCTAGACTTGCTAGAACCAATGCCAGAGCGCATCATCGCGGCTCGCGGTGGGGGATCACTCAGCTCATGCTCTCGAGGAAAGCGTCTGCGTGTGCACGCCGCTGGGCTTCTGGTACATCGACATGGAAGAGTGCCAGGGGCAAAATCCCACCCGTCATGTGCCACAGCTGCTGTACCAGCGCCGTAATGGCTGATTCTGCAATGCCTTCATAAACCCACGTGGAAGCGTGGAGATGACAGTAGTGTCAGGTCACTCCTGGAAGCATCAAAAGTCTTGTCAAAGCTTATCCGCAACATCGGGTAAATGTAGTCGACAATGTCAGGTAGCAATTCTGGCCTGTGGAGGGTGGCATGTTGAGTTTGGCCAGATAATTTTGGCGTATACAGGATTAATTCTAACCTGTGGAAGGTGTTTTGCCGACTGTGGAGGCTTCATTCTGGCATGCACAGAAACCCATTCGGGTTTGTGGAGGGCCCATTATTGACTTAGAGGGCCCGGTCTGGTCGATAGAGGAGCCATTATTTACTGTAGGGGGGGGGGGGCATTCTGGCCTATCCAGGACGAATTCTGGTCTGTACACGATCAGTTCTGACCAGCGGAGGGTCCGTTATTGACTGAGGAGGTACCTTCTGGCCTGTGGAGGGCCCATCCTAGCCTGTGGAGGGCCCTTTACCGACTGTGGGTTTCATTCTGGTCTGTAGAGGGTCCATGCTGGCCTGTAAAGAGGCTGTTCCGGTCCAGCGAGGACCCATTCTAACCCGTAGAGGTCCCGTTCTGACGTAACGTGGGTCCATTGTAACGTGTAGAGATCCCGTCATGGACTGCCTATGTCCTATTTTGACCTGAAGAGGTGCCCATCTTGACGCTATGGCATGGGTATTGGACCAGAGGGCCGGAAGGGACTATTGTCTCTCCGCTTTCCAGTGTGTGAATCAGTATTGTTAACTGCCCCCCCCCCCCCCACCACACGTTTCAGATTTAATTCGCATTTAGCTTGCTTTTTTACTTAGCATGCATGCCACTTTGCCTAGCCCACCAGCCATCTACCTCAATTGCTTAATGTGGCAGATGATAAGATCTTATCCTGTCATGTACGATGAATGAGATAACAAATAGCAAACCCGAGTTTGCTCTTATACCAAAGAGCCCGTTTCGTCTTTTTTAGAGCCTTGGTGAGGTGGACCTTCGCGTTTTCATTGGGAGTGAGGGTGAGAGTCCATGAACCTTACCCATTCTATTTCCCATACGCACTTCTTCCTCTTCTCGTAATTCTGTGGTTATGGTCATAATTTTGACTTGATATAAGAAAACAGGCCTTCGGTTTGTTTTTTCGGCTTTATTGGCTCGAAGTTCTTATGTTGAGTTATCGACCTTCAATTTAACAACCAGAATGCACTGGCTAAACGACCTAGTAGTGTCAAAAGTCGATTATATTGACGGTACTCAATCTTTCGAGTTGTGCTCATGCTCAAGAGGGCGTATGCTGTGGATGAACACAGAGAAGTAGATGGGCGTGATCATCTCAGTAATGTGTCTCCATTAACGCCTCAAAATCTCTTAGTAGTACTAAAAAAACGATTATATTGATGGCACTCAATCTTTCAATTTGTGCACGTGCTCAACAGGTCGTATGTTGTGGATGAGCGCAGAGAAGCAGATGGGCATGATCATCTTAATAATGTTTCTTCATTGACGCCTCACAACTTCTAAAAACATGATATAGCGATTTTTCATCCTGGTCTAGTTCAAAGTCCGACTATTTTCCGCAAAAATACAACCACCATTAGCACATGACATCTCCCTGTCTGAGTGGATGCTGTGCAAGCCCATGAATGGCGCGTTTCGAGACCATTCCAGGAGGCTGCGGGAGAGCAACGATTTTGAGTAGCTGGCCATGGGTCCTCCCGGAAGCACCGGCCGCTGAGGCCACAGAAGCTACTTCACTAAATGGTGTGGTGGCAATGCTCCACGACCGTCGAAACTTGGTTGTTCAATTGTTCTGCTTGTAATCGGTAATGCAGTAGAAACAGGGGTAGATCTAGAGAGGGGGGGGGGGGGGGGGAGAATCCCACCCATCCCCTTGGACCACCAATAATTTCTTGACGTCCCTTCGTGGCATGAAAATATAATCGTGGAGAGATACCAAAACTTTCATTTGGAGACCCATAGCGCTTAGTTCCAAGGGGCATCAAATTCAAGAGGCACCGCAAAGTGCCTCAATCGTTATTTTCGAAGCCACCGAATCCCACCGGTACCACGATCTCCATGCCGCTTCCACTTCATGAAATTCTCGATCGGCACGTTCAGTAAAAGAACGCTAAACCATCATGCCGGGCATCGGACCTTTCATTTTTGCTTGTCATCCAATTCCAAAGGGCACCACGAAGGGCCCCAAACCTTAATTCTCATGGACCATCAAATTCCAGGAGCGCAACAACGTTACGCTTCCCACTCCAAACTATATCTTGGATCGTTCTCCTGGGCGAGGGGCGTCAAAATCTTCATTCCAAGGGGCAACAATTTCCGGGGGCACCGCAATGTATATACTTCCGATTGGTGAAATCCGAGGTTGGCCCCAGACTGACATATCGGCGATGGGTCACCAACATGTCCATCTTGGAGCGCCACAGCCTTTACTTAATCCGAACGGGGCATTTAAAAGACCCTAATTTGCGATTTTGTGATAGCGCGATTTCGAGGTTGATTCTCTGAATGAAATTATCAGTTACGGCAACAAGAGTGATCGCGAGTACGCCATTGCGTCATGATTTCGTGATGCTTTTCATGTTTATCTGTTCCGTACATCAATCTTAAAAATTGCACAAGCGAAATCTACGCGGAAATACCATCTGAACGTATACGAATTTATGGTATAACGCGTTTCGAAGTACCAGTCTGCTACACATGGTCGTTTTTGCCGCCCGTTCACGCCCACCGAGTGTTGGCTACGGGACCGACGCCGTGAGGCCCATGGAGACTGCAATTCCGAGCGTTGGTTTCCTTCTCCGTACACAAGCTTAAAGCAAAACCGAGCGGCGTTGGTCGCTGCAAGTAATGCCAGGCGTCGAGTGGCGGGCGCAGGAGAATGGCCGGCTTGAATTATGCTTCCGATAGTCTTTCAAAATAAATTTGAAGCATTTGAATATTAGAATGAAGCATGTTTTAAAAATGGCCTTGAGGATGTCCTCTGGCCAAGTTAACAGCTACAGCAGCACGAAAAATAGCGATTCTACCCTTAATCTTCCAGTCCCAATATCAGATTCCAGCAACATTTCGCGGTGCTGTAAATGCTAATTTGTCCTTCCTGCCAATCACAAAAAACACACTGGTGATTTATATTCGGAACTACTTTCTAAACATACGAATTGATGTCCAAAAGCCTACAAAAGTACTCTCCCAGATGTGTCATCATTTTCGCACTGCCTGTTGGCCGCCACTTAGTGTCAGCCTTGAGACCGACGCTGTGCGGCCTATGGAGACTGCAACGTCGGGCGTCAGGGTTGCTGCTAACTTGGCGAGCGCGCATGCATCAAACCGTGTTACATAAATGTTTCTCAGTGATCGATTCTGGCTGAACGTTGAACAATGCGAGACAAACACGGGTTCGTAATGCCAGTACAAATTCTGGACCCCATCTTGATCTGTAATCTACATCGAGGGGGGGGGGGGGCACCGATGGCGGACAGGAGCAGGGCTCAGGTAAGGATTATCCGAAACAATGTCTCTCATTTTGTGATTCGTTTTTACAGCAGAAGCTCTGTTTCTTTGCCACCTCATTTTTGGCAGCGGGTATTTGAAGCTTCCGAATTTTTTTCCGCCAAGAATCCTGCGACAAATGTCATCTCTGAAAAAGCAGCTGGCGAAATCTAGGCACACGAAAATTCCGGTGTATTACGACTCGCTGACCAGCATGCAAAACTCTGACCAGCCTATGCCCAGGCGGTATTTTGACATCTACCTTGTGAAGACAGACGCCTCCCCAGTTACCCAGAATATCCACCTGCTCGTGGAATTTCGTCTCCCAGGAAAATAACGTTGAAATTGACGAATAATCTCAGGAAGCCGGGTAGCCTTATTTCCCAAATGACACTGATGAATCAAATCATTGTACACCAGTGGGAAACAGCTGTAGATGTACATTTAGCGTGGTGAGCGTGACAATGACCTATTTCCAGAACTTATGACGTAAATAAAGAGCGCACAATGTCCTTCAGCTGTGATCGCCCTCCTCCCCCTCTAGTCACCGGGCTTGCTTCCCCGCAAAAATTCTTAAGCACACCCTGAGCCTGGTATCTCAAATTTTTAGAGGCTTCCTACGCCTATGCACTGCGAGGCCATTCTGACGAGGGTCCATTAGTGACCTAAAGGACCTATTCCTACTTGTCAGGAACCCACTATCTAATATTGGAGAGCCTATTTTGGCACTTGAGGGGTTGCACCTCCCTCAACTCGAACATAGCTCCCGGGCCACTGTTCCCTGCAACCCACAATCATACCCTTTTTAAGGGGTTGCGGCCCCCTCAACTCGAACTTAGCTCCCACGCCACTGCTCTCTGCAACTCACAGTCATACCCTTTTCTAAGATTTCACCCTGAAGTCACCGTAGCCAAAGCGTTAATGTTCTGAGCCTATTTTCAGCAGAAGAAAAGTGACATTGAAACGCGAATAGTTATTACTGCCCATGCTCTGCTCATTGTTCATGCTCATTACTGCCCATGCTCTGACGTCATCGCTTGACGTACGGCATCCGTGCAGCTTCCTTCATTTGAATGTCTTACTCTTTGTAGGATCCAAGATGGAGGAAAAGGTCGAGAAACTCCATGGAGATGTCAAGTTTGAAGAGCTGAAGAACATCACCAATCTAGGTTCTCAAGGTAAGATACCTGGGGGTCGTGCGAGTTGGAGAAATGTGAACCACTCGCGATGGGATAAGTGCCACCGCTAGCAAAGTTCGAATTTCTCTTAAAAATGGAGAATGTCGTCCGCGATAAGATGCCTCCAAACGCCCAGTGTGCTTATTGGTCGCCGTTCTCCCGTGGGCTAGTAGGAACGTTTTAACACGCGCCCGGGTGGTCGGTTGGCTACCCTTCGCACGGGTGGGGTTAATGCGACCCCTTGAGATCTCAGAAACTAAGAGAGCTACAGACACTAAGCTACAGGGTGTGTTATCCTGGTTATAAACTCACTTGGGTTAACGTTTAAGGCTCCTAGCTTATGACCTCCGGGTCAAATAAAGCCAAACAAGATCAAATTCCAGGTTGGCCTCCAAAGTGTCCTAAAACCTAGACACCTGTTCTAAGCAAAACGGGATGTGCAGATTTAAGATCAGTGACCTTGTTTGACCCTTTGAAGATCATATTAACGAGGCTCATACAAGAAAGCCTTCAATTTTGCATTTGAACAAGTGATAAATATTACGCTTGGCAGTATGTTCCTAAAAAGTGGTTGACCTATATCATTTCAAGTCAGTGACCCATTCTGATCTCTAAGAAGTTCATGAAAGATGTAGAGTGCAGTTCTTGTTATCCATCAATCCGAAATGAGTAACAAAAACTACCTCATACAGCAAGCCCTAGAGCAATAGAACAGGTTGGTTTTGACCTTGGTCTGACCCTTATACTGATCCCAGGTCAGTGGAGTCTGCTCATTCAATTGTTGTGTTGCCTAAGAAAGCATCTGAAAGATGTATCGTTTCGTCTAATACTCAGCTGTTTCATCAGATTGAGCGACTACCTAGAAACTGACTATGCTGAGTCCATGGCTGGACTTTGGCTCACTGTAGGTCAGCGACCTTACAAGGTGTCTGAATTTTTTATACCAAACGATCCACTGCCCAATCATTTACAGTATGCAAATTTGACACAGCTACGCCGTGTCGTTAGGAAACCATTATGGAAAAACCTTCGAGGGGTGGTCCATTTGACCACCACCCGAACGCGTATTGAGAATGTTTTTTGTGCTCTATGCCGGGAAATTTTATAGTTGGTTGTGTGGACGCACGCACACACGCACGCATGCACGTACGTACGCACGCAAGCATACGCGCACGCACGCACGCACGCACGCACGCACGCACGCACGCACGCACGCACGCACGCACGCACGCACGCACGCACGCACGCACGCACGCACGCACGCACGCACGCACACACACACACACACACACACACACACACACACAGCCCTGGTTACATATCGTGTTAAAAGCGTGGCCAGATTGACATGAAGTGTTGTTAAAGTAGGCATGCACACTGAGTGTAAGGGCGTCTTAAATGGGACGGCGTACCGATAGAATGCTAAGTTCTAACTTACCAAGTTGTTCTTTGGATGCCTTAGAAAATCATTAGCTTTTAAATAACAGCCTAACCCACCAACGACTTCCACGATCGAAGAAACGCAAACGCAAGATACAGGGTTTGAAAATGCTGCGTCTGTGTGTGTTCCATACCTCTGGGTCTACGGTACCCAGTATTCCACGAACGTAACCTTACGGAAAAAAAGTGGTGGGGGACAAGACTCTTCCGAGCTGCTAGCTGTGGGGTCAGGTGGCATTGGGAGGCAGAGGACGTGACCGAATGGAGCCAGACGCTACCGAAGGGGACCAGAAGGAACATTATGGAACGTGATGGGTCCGGACGAGACCGGATGGAACCGGATGGTACTGGATGAAACTGGTCGAAGCCTGACGGGGCCAGATAGAACCTGGCGCGAAGATGTGATCGGACGGCAAGGAGCTTAATCGATAGCAACAGGACTAGACAGTACAGAAATGGACGGGTCCGACCAATACCAGGCGGGCTCGGTCTGGTCACATCCGGTCTCGTATGGTCCCACATACCCCCATCTGGCCTTATTTGGTTCCATTCAGTCCCACTCAGTACTGTCTGGTCCCACCAGGCCCCGATATTCGGTTCCGTCCAGTCTGATCTTGTCTTTTCTCGTCTTGTTCAGTCCGTCCAATGTCATCCGGTTCCATCCTGTCTCGTCCCACCTTTTCAGGCCTTGTGCTGTTCCCGTGCCCGTCCGGTCCTCTCCTCCAATCTCGCCCAGTCCCGTCTGGGCTCATGAGAGAGAGAGAGAGAGAGAGAGCGAGAGAGAGAGAGAGAGAGAGAGAGAGAGAGAGAGAGAGAGAGAGAGAGAGAGAGAGCGAGAGAGAGAGAGAGAGAGAGAGAGAGAGAGAGAGAGAGAGAGAGAGAGAGAGAGAGAGAGAGAGAGAGAGGAGAGAGAGAGAGAGAGAGAAGAGAGAGAGAGAGAGAGAGAGAGAGAGAGAGAGAGAGAGAGGGAGGAGAGATCATCACGCTCTATCCGCTGCCATCACGTCCCATCTGATCTCCTTCCGTCCCGTCCGATTTCCACCGATCACGTCCGGCGGCACTCGGCCGTTTGGCTCAATTCGGAAGTGCTGACAGCTTGGCATTTTGTTTTGTTTTGTTTTGTGACATCACGATGCAATCAGCTGAAAGCATTTCTAACCTCCTCGCTTAATCAACCGCCACTTGCAGGGCAGATTTATGCGTCGGCTGATGTGAACTCGCTGGCGATGGGTGTAAGGTAAAACGCTATTTGTTCGTAGCATTTGTTACATAAAGCTGAATGAAGTAGGTAGGAGTATTCGAAATTGTCTCGTACGTTTACTGATACCAATAGCGCATAGCACAAGGTTGTTGATTCACACCGTTATAGGGAGTGGAAAGCATACGTCGGTGATACTCGTGTGGTATTACTGCAGCAAACCAAGTCTCAGACTGGGTGACTTTGTTATTGGCAAAACTGGGGTCAAGTTCGGTTCAGGACACATACCAAAAGGTACAACTCGTCCTGTTATTACCCTTTGAAGCCGCCATTTTTTAAGTTTGTATTTATACTTTGAAGAACTTATATTACCATGACGTGAAAACACTACCTTTGCTGTACAAGGCCCTCGTCGGACCGCACGTGGGATATGGTAATCTTATACGGGGACTGTTTAACCGTACGGACCAAAAGCTTGTTGAGCGGGTACAACGGCACACGACTAAAATGGTGGCAATTACCAGGGATAAACTATATATATATATATATATATATATATATATATATATATATATATATATATGTGTGTGTGTGTGTATATACAACGAAAACATTTTGAGCTACTTTCTGTGCATTACCGAAGAGGTGGTGAAGATATAATGGCCATGTACCAGCTCCTTCATTCGGGATAGACTTGAATCCTGACGACTTCGTGCCTTCACCCGCACTGGGGGCTACTCGAGGGCACCGCTGGAAATTCTTTAAGCCGCAGGCTTCGTCCAGTGTCCACAGATATGTTTACAGCGTATGCGCCATCAACGACCGGAACAGTTTTCCCCGGACGGTAGTTTTGTATGCGTATCAGACTAGGATAAAATACGGCAGCAACGGCACACATTTCATGACTAGGAAACATAGAGTCCCCTGTTAAAACGGCATTTTTCGGGTCCACGGCTCTCTAAATCTTGAGCGTATAAATGCATAAAAAGTACAAACATGTGAAGCCTCCGCCTCTGTTTTTTTTCAAATCCCAGATCAAAAGTGTATGCCGTTGCAGTCCTTTAAGGGAAACTATAGACCCATGCATACGCTGCGATATCTAAGGATGGGATGGAATCCCGTTGCCGCCAACACTTCTCAACTAAGTTGAGATATAATAATGGAACACTCACTTTCAAGCACCTGGCCCAGTGCCTGGTTTGCCTCTGGCCGCGCTGAGGACAGCCGGCTCTGGATGCGTCAGGCACAATAGAGCTAGGAACCCTATACAGGCTGTAGCCCGGTCGTCCGCATCACACCTGCCTAGTAAATTTTTAGAGGCTATGTATAGACGATATAATTATATAATAACTCTCTCTAACAACTCTCTCTCACGTTTGCTTAGCACAGCGACTGCATCTTAAGGATTTATATGACTAGATATGGCTATGTATGCCTATATATATATATATATATATATATATATATATATATAAATACATATATATATATATATATCATATTTTATCTCATATGTACATATATATTATTGACAAACAACAATTTTCTCAACTCCAGCATGGATGAACCTTAGAACAGGCTGACCAGCCACCTACCATGCAGCACTCAGGAGCCGGTAGCCTTAGCCAGGCTGTTCGCAGCAGAATCAGCGCGCAGGAGCTGCCATAATGTGATCCATTATGCTGCAGAATGCTTACATGAAGCCGTAATGTGTTAACTGACGCATAATATATAGGGGCGCAGACCAAGATAACTTAACTTAACCAGGTGCATGTGAATTACTGTACAACAATACGACACGACAGCCCCTAGCCGCACACTACCCCGCCCAACTTCAAGCGCTTCACGACTGATAAGATTACGCGATTACAATTACGCGGTTCGCACAGCTACACCAAAAAATGCCGCTAGCTCACCACTGTCAACTTTTGGTACCCAATAACAAATTTCATCTTAACCTCGATGCTGGTATATTTATAGTATATTTTGGTGCCTCCTTGACGAAACTTTGGAATAATCGGTGTTGTACTGCCCTGGTTCCGTCTAAGTCCCTTCGCTTCTTCACGTTCAGGTTGAATCATCACTTCTCTGCAAAATGTACCATATTTCAATCCAAGACCAAGCTCGGTTATTAACCACATATGAGCTAGGCGCGAACGGGATCCGAAAGCTTGTCTCTTTCTAAATACTGAAAAGTGCAAGGTAAGGTAAGATATGGTGTTTTCTGCAGTGCTACCAAATCAAGTGGCTGAAATCCCGTGAGAAATAAAGTGTTCTGGTATATATCGCCTCGATTCTGGATATATTGAGTCAAGTTCTAATGGATGAATATTGCCAACGTAAGTGGATCACTATCAACGCGCACCCGAGTGGCGGGTCAGTTTGACGCCCCCGATGTTTCTTTCCAGAATAACTTGTAAACGGTACAGCGTAGCCGCGTTGAAAATTGCGTAACTATAAAAACTAAACAGCCGGTCTTTTGGCAACATAATTTAGATGCACCTTTTAAGGTCGCTGTCCCATCACATGTCAAAGTTAGGTCACGGCTGTCAGCGAAGGCGATTCCGAGGGAATCGTTTAATCTGATGCGACAGCGTAGTGTTAGGCGAGACATACATCTTTGAGATGGGTGCTTAGGCAATTAGACAATTGAATAAATGATCACGATATTTCATTGAACTTGGGTCCGGTATGAAGGTCAGTGGGGGTCTTTGATCTAACACTACCAAGATAAACTTTTTGCTTTGAGGAACATGCCGCAAAGCGTAATCTTTGGCGGAGTCGCTGTGTTGGCCAAAGTAACACGTTTGTGAAACACAAAACGGAAAACTCGAAACAATGAGCTCTTGTGCTCTAAGACCCAAAACGCCACCGACACGTTTTTTTTCTTTCCACAGATAGAAGAGAAGTGGAAACTAAACGAACAAGAACCCTCTCCGGCAAACATACTGAAGACACGCATAATGAAGACGGCTTTCTGAAACGTGCAACATTACGGGGTGAGAATTCACCTTTTGCTAACTTAGTGTTTTTCTTCTCATTTGATTAAGCTGTCCCTGTTATCTAAAGCATTCGAAAACAGTTATATTCTAACTTGGACGGTCTTTCCCCTAGCGTTTCCATAATCTGAGACATATAACCGTCCCATAAAGGAGGGGGCGTGTTCTTGGCTCCCCCTCCCTGGTACCCGTGCCCATGCCGGAAAAAATAGGAGTTGAGTCATATTTTGTGCGTACTGTTCACGATGCTAATTTCATTTAAATTATATGGTCGTTCACTGCATTTGTGATAACCAACGTTCCATGAAATATTGACGGTGGAAAACTGGCCACGAAGTTTTGTGTTGGTGCGCGCTTTAGGTAGTGTTATCGGTGGCCTTTTTGTTGGTGCATTGCTGACGGGGTTTTATGAGGCCTTCAGCTGCTGACACTGTATGTCATCGCCCGCCCCTCACCCTTGGAAAAAGGGTGGACACCGCGGAGAATCGACCCTGTGCCTCTGGCTTCTAAGACACTTTTGATACACCAAAAAAGAGCAATATCATAAGTCACGTGATATATATATATATATATATATACAAAGAGGCCAACAACAGGACAGCACAAATAGCGTGCACCTCCGGCAGCCATCGGCGGCGGTGGCGGCGCGTAGTCGGCCACACCGAGTGACGCCCCAATGGCGCCGTTCCGTGTCAGCTCTTTTGCCCATTCTAAGATGCGTCGTGGCACTTATGGTTATGGTGCCTTTTATAGTCATAGTCTCAAGTCTCGGCTTCTCGGTGCGGTAATGGATTGCACATTAACAGTTGATGTTGCATGAACGTATGTGCAACTAGAAATGTATGTGTACTGACATAAGCTTTTACGCCTTACAGTCAAAGGGAAAGGATACATAACAACCAGTGTCCTTTTTCGGCTGTATGAGATGTCACCGTCAGCGCGAAAGGCAAGCGAAAACATAACTACAATTTGCAGCCTTAAAACAGGTATGCACAATCGTGGTTTGCAAACTCCTTATTGTATGCGACTTTTACGTCGTACATGCGAATACCTAGACATTTGGTTTCTGGGCACATACATGCACACTTGCAGTTTTGCGCACATACAAACATGTATCCCTCCATATATGCTCAACGTGAGTGCCTTCGCGCAGTTTTCTACGGATCTGTTGGACTATTAGAATGGTTTCCCACGCTGATTGCATGAAATGAAAGAAATCGAAGCGATCTAGGGAAGGTAAGAATCTGTCCAAATTTAGGAAGCTACCAGAAAGTTTTTCAATACCTGCAAACATGCTTCGGATACTAGCAAGCCGTTTGCATCAAAGTGGGCTAACAACAGAGCACATTAGTTTGATGCAGGACTCCTCGAAAGTGTCCCAAAATGTAACATGGCGTTGATGTCTCAGCGAAAGAGCATGACATGCTTTTCCGTGACTGCAATGCGAGCACGGCCCGGAGGAACGACGACTGGCGCCAAACCAACGAGACCAGCGCAGGTCACATTTTCTACAGTGAGTGCTTGTTATTTTGCCGTCAAATGTAGTTGTTTGCTCTTGTTAACTAAAAGCAATCAAGAAGACTCCTCTGGGGGTGTCATGGCCGAGTGGTTAGCGCCTTTGACTCCCACGTGGAGGACCGGGTTCCAATTCCGTTTGCGCCATGTTCCCGGAGCGCTGATATGGCCATTGGTGCTCCATAGAAGGGGAGTGGCTACCTAAATCATTGTCTCTTGTTACAGTAGATACATTTTTAATGGCACGTTCTGGACTTATCACCTTATTGATGATACAACTATGATCCACATTCACACGCGTGCAAAAGCTTCACCCGCATGGTTCGGACGCTCACCACTCCACAAAGCGACGGATTACTTTCCAACCACCTACCGGCTTAAAGGAAATGTCCTCACTTTAGAACATGTCTTAAAAAACATATTCTGATGAAACCTTAGCATCAGTTATATTAAAACTATTCAACATTTATGTATGCAGTTTTGAACTGAAATGGCCACCTTGAAAACCTTTCGGTGCTGGTCACGATCCTGCCCTTCTTGAGACTTAAGCCTCCCTAGTTTCTAAGCTACACGCTCGCGAAAATGAGGAAAGATATTTCGGGGAGAGTATTTCAGTCACCTTGGCATTCAAGACGTCATAATAACGTCATTCAAATCCTGTCATTCCATAAACCATGCGGTGAACGAGGCCAAAAAGCAATTGCCGAAGTGTTTATATCTGGCGTTCGTGAGCGCGGTTTCCAGATATAACGACAGTCAACTGGCTCCCAATCAATATTGGGCGCGGTGCGATGAAGAAATCAAACCATGCTGTATTGAGGAGCATATTTACTAAACAGAGGATTTTGCTGTCCAGAGCAGTCTTTTCCGCTTAAGAATTATACCAATAGTTATAAGTGAGCTTGCTTTTATGACATCTGATGCGTGCCTCATTATCTTCAAATGTGAAACATTCGCTTTGATACGCATGTTTTACATTTAAGAGACAAGCGTCAGGATCATGAAATAAGTTGACTTATATATATATATATATATATATATATATATATATATATATGTATATATATATATATATATATATATATATATATATTAATGTGCCTTTAACTAGAAAAGACCGCGCGAGACAATACAATTTTTTCATGAAGTCACTATGCCCCTCAATAGGTGACCATTTCATTGTGTTATAGAACGTTTGCACCTTGTTGAGGTGCTGCCAAATCAGCCCACGAAATTGTCACCCTTGCACTCACTTCAAACTCGCCGAAAGATCGCAGTACGGTGCCGGAAGTGTTTGCTGAGCCAACTATCGTTACTGGCTCGTGTTTTGGCTCCTTCTAGTGGTGTTCTTGCGTATCCACCCGCGAGTTTTGGAAGCTTCCTTGCATTTGCACACTCCGTTATGGCGCTACTTGTAAGTTATTCCATTACAAGTTCCATTCCCGTAATAACTGGAAAAATGTCCGACTTCTCACATTGCATAGCGTGATCGTGTTTCAAGGTTATAGTTCGCGCGGCTAGCTCCTTATTGATCGAGAACAATAGCGCAAGCAAGGGAAAACAGGGAGCAGGCCCCTCCCCCTCCTTAAGTTCTGAGGGGCCCGAAAGGCCCTCGGAACCAACGACTAAGGGTCAGAATGTCATGCCGAAGGCCGCATTCAAGAGCCCCGGCCCGTAGGGCTGGGCACTCCGATGCCAGCCAAAGAGCCCTGTATGTTGATTAGAGGCCCCATGAGGCCATAAGGGCCTGTATGTCGGTTAGACACCACCAGTGATGCGAAGTCGCCTCCGTGGTAGCATGGGCCTGAGGGCTCATTTCCCAGGCAGGAACAAAACCGGAGAAAACGGTTTTCATTGGTCGGGGCCCCAGCGACTGTCAGGGCCTTATAGCCACTAACGGGGCGCTGTGTTGACAAGGGGTCCGAGTCGGCCAGAAGTAGTGCCTGAGAAGGCCCGAACAGCCTAGAGGGCCCGCCGGGTCCGACGATCAAGGGCTCGATTGGAGGATCCAAGGGCACGAGGGGCTAGTCGGACTCTTACGTAGGGGCCCAGCTTGCGGGAACGGGCGCTCAAATGACATTCAGAGGGTCCTTTGCGCCGATCGGGGACCCCTGAGTTGGTATGGCCATATATGTCGGCCAGGCATCACCAGTATCGCGTAGTCGACCCCGTGTCGGTATGGGCCCGAGGGCCCCCCATCCAAGAAGCGAAAAAGGCCGGCCAGTGATCTACTCTGGTTGAGGACCTTGTATCTGTCAGGGGCCCACAGCACCTAACATAGAGTCCTGCGCTCGCAAGGACCCCGCCCGACCTAGGAAAGTGTTCGATGAGCCCCGAAGAGGGCCCGGAGCGGCTCACCGGAACCGACGATCAAAGACCCAGTTGGATGTATGAGACCCCGGATGACCCGCTGTAGGTCTCGTAAAGAATCGTGGCCCGTAGGGTCGTGACCTGAAATTTCAGTCAGAGGTCCTCTTGCATCGCTTGACAAGTTGGGACAAGACAAGACAAGACACCATGACACCCTGAGACAAGTTGGGCGTCTAAGTCGGTCAGAGACCACGAACACGGAACAACCGGCTTCATGTCCGTCTAAGCCTTGATACCCATCTCTCAAGCAGGAAAGAGGCTGGGGCCCGCGATTTGCAATGTATGGGGTCCCTGATACAGTGAGAGACTGTTGTGTCGGCCAGGGGCCACAGTGCCTAACAGGGGTCCCTTGGCGACAAGTGGCCGGGAGTCGGAGAGGTGTTTGACGGGGTCCGGAGAGGGGCCGAAGGGTCTCTCGAGACCAATGATCAAGGGTCCGATTGGAAGGCTAAATGGTCCGAATGGCAGACTGCGGGTCACATTCAGGACCCCCGCCGCGGTGCCATGATCTCAGATGTCAGTAAGAGGACCTCTTGCACCGATATGGACCCCTGAGACAGAGCGTTCCTTTATGCCGGCCAGAGATCACCAACAACGAATTGTTGGCTTCATGTTGGTCTGAGCTGTGGGGCCCGTTTCCCAGGCAGGGACAAGGCCGGGCCCGCTGTTTACATTGGTCGGGCCCCTGTATTGTTCAGGGGCCCACAGTACCTAACAGCTTATGACGTCAACAAGGGTCCATGAATCGGTCGGGGTAAGATTTGCTCAACAGGGACGGGGACGGGAGCCCGAATGACAGAGGGCCTCTCGCATTGGTCAGGGCCTGTTGACAATGAAAGGAAACACGAAAACTGGTGTTGGGTGCCCACATTACAGCAATGAAAGAGCCCTACGCCATTCAGGGCCCCCCGTGCCGAGCGGTGGGCCCTCCAACCCAATTTCCAGCACGGGCCTGTTAAGCCGAAGTGGAGTCTATGCGCCGATTATTTGACCACCTGCGGTGACCAGAGACGTTGCTGCGCCAACGCGGGCTCCTGCGTCGATCTGGGGTCAACTGCGCGGGTCAGAAGGCCTCCCGCGTCTGGGAGAAGAGTAATGTGACATAATGTATCCCTCTAAGGGCCTCTGGGTCGGCCAGGGGATCCTGCCCGTTGTCCCCAGAATGATGGCCGAAAGACACACTGCGGCGGAATGGAATGACCGTTGCGTCCTTGACCGGGAACGGTAATGTGCTTTGCAGTGTGCTACTCAATGGGATCCCTTTCCAGGAAATAAGGGGTCTCATTAGCGTTGAATGCAGTGGGCCGAAATGAGTTCGAAAACGCACAAGGCTCTCGCATGTTTGCTTGAGAATGTTCAGTCATTTGCAAAATCGACCAGCGAAATAAATTACACGACAAGGTTTGAGTCTGAGCGTCGGGCGCCGATGGTGTGGTGGTTAACGCGCCTATGTTAACCACCGCGCGTCTGGGAAACAAGAGGTGCGGGGTTCATTTCCCGCGGTGCCCGTCCTCCCTGCCAGGGTGAGAAGCGGGCGAGGCCATATATATATATATATATATATATATATATATATATATATATATATGTATGATATCAGATAAGCACATGCCATCATGAACACATGGGTCATATCCGGAAAATTTTCTGGGGGCCCTTTTACTACCAGGGACCTTTTGCCAACCCCGTGGCCCTCTTGCTAAAGCGCCGCCCGCGCGCCTGAGTAAGAGTTTGAACGATACGTGACCAGTGGCGAGACAGGATATGAATGACGTCGCTATGACGTCATGCATGCCCGAATGGCCTTGTAAGAGTCTGCATATCTCGGCGGGCGTGTAGCTCAGAAACTATACGGTTCTAGGCTTTAAGAAGAACAGAGCTCTGAACCGCACTGAATGATATTTAACATGGCTATTTCAGTTGAAAACCACATACGGATGCCGGACAGTCCCTTCAAGCTTGGTTTTGAAGCGCCGGCAGTGCGATTACTTTGTATTCTTACGTTCATCATCAGCTATACCAAATTTTCCATCTTCAGTTGCTGTCACCGCGTGGTCGTAAAAAGGCTGATTGATGGAATAGCGAACCCTAATTCTTCCCGCCATGGTTGACTGTGAGAACCGGTGACGTCATGACTCATAGCGCGTGGTCAGCTTCGCTGAAGCACTTCTCAGCTTCCCCACGAATTAGGTGGCTTTGATGCCAATATACCAATACACATGCCGACAGCATTGAGCAATTTCAACGAGCGAGAATGTTCGTGTGCGACTAATTAAGTTGCATTTAGTGTCAGTTCTGTCTTAAACAGGGAGTTTTTTGGCCATAAAATCGCACCTTACTGGACTGCACATGGAGATGAGGGTTTGGATACTCAGTCAGCACCTATGTCTGTTTTAATTCGTATTTACTTTTCAGTACGGCCATCACTATTTGGAGAATGTTTCACCGGCACAGCCAACGAAACCGGTTGGGTAGACTCAGGGACCAAGGCAGATACGCTTAACGAATGCATCTGTGCCTGCCGGCGTTCAAAGCTGGCCAAAAACGTAACTGCCTTCATTCTGCAAAGGTGAGCAGTCAGCCTGCCGTGAAAGTATTACTTGTGTTATTTTGGGGCAAAAACTAAACCGGAGTCGTGGGTTTTGATATTGCAAGGCAACAATAAGGTCAGCTGACCCGTCAGGTCATCTGGCGGACCATCAACTGACTCGTCCCCGGGCGGGCCGAGATAGGCAGCGTTAATCTAGGCGCGTGCGCGTGCGCGTGCGCATCGCTGTTGTGCCGTTTATAGACCAGCCGAGCCAATATCCAGCCGGTGAGAAAAGAGCGCTCTCTTACCTTGTACTAGTTGGAACAAGTGTCAAATTGTTCGCCCGGAATGCGGGTTTAGAACTAAAGAAAGCATGAAGCCATATGGATACCGAAGACTGAAGTTTTGCTTTGAGGGTGTGTGTTAACCCCAGATGCGGAAATATTGTCAGTTTTGAACTTAGAGGACTTTCGCTCCCGACACTGTTATGGTTTACTCCGACTATCGTAATCATGAGCACGCTGAAAAGGTGCTTAAGCCATTTCCTTTGACGCATCCGTTTGGCGGTTTTCAGTGTCTTATAGCTTTTCATGATGTATCAGATACTGGGACGAGACAAATACCACAGGGCCACTTCAATTCGAAAACATCTAGATTTCGAGACGATCCATGGTCGTTACCTTCCTTCTACTGATGCCATTACCTCACGCTCTTCCCATCACAGGCCAACGTTTTTGTCAAGACGCTCGTTCTAATATCCTGAAAAATATGGTAACCTACGGCAGCCAACGCGACTGCGTTTCCTCAATTTTATACTGTGCAGCTGAGAAATAGCTGTTCGGTGTGACCAAAAACGTCGCCGATTACTTATATAGCGAATAAGTATGTTGACGAAAATTAGGTGGTAATTGCAGCAAATATAATGCCTATGAAGCTATGTCCCTCTTTTTCCTGATTGAAGTGCATTATTGATTCCTCAAGTTTGGTGTTAGATAACATGCCACGCCTGATCGAACTTCTGTGATATCTTGCACGATGACGTGGACGATAATTCTGAAACACGAATACCAACTAGCCATTTACTAGCTCAGTGGGCGGAGAAACGATCATGACTGCAAGCGACGGGAGGATCGAAGCCTTGATGAAATGATTCTTCACTGTACTTATGGAATTATTGTTTTCCTATCCGTGCAAATTTAGTAGCATACGGTACCCTTCAAGGACAGACACCGGCGAAAAACGAGGTTTGTAGGCAATGCACGTTTCTATAACGTCCAGATTAACCATCATATAGTATCCACATAATACTCATTTGGCGTATATGTTCACAGCGGCCATTGCATTTGCTCTGCGTTGTCAACATCGATGGGTACGCTCATCGGAAGAGTACCACTACCTGCCACCTGTCCTGCGGATGCTGCAAGGCAAGCATATGTTGGCTCCGACCACCTAGGTCAGCTCTGCGGACCATTCAAAGGAAAAGGTATGACAAGAGCGCAAATCATCACAAGGCCGCAAATAACCAAGGTGGTTGACTCGCCTTAAGCCGACAAATATTTGATGTTGCCTGACCAATGCTGTCTTCAAGGCAAAGTGGCGTGTGTCACGCAAAAATGTGCAGCAGAGTGTAACCTCTTTCTATGCGACATTGTGTGATGTGGGTGGGATTTGTTTGTGAGGAGGTCGGATGCAGTCAGCACAGTGGCCCAGGATCGCATTCCATATTTCGTGACTTTTGACAGAATAAGCTGTTGCCCTGGGCTTCAGGTCACCCATCCATTTCTCCGTGGGGACGTGGGTGACGTAATGCGTTAACAACGACGCGACTTTTGTGGGGTCCAATATAGTAGAACGTTATGTCTGATTGGTGTATGTTTAATAGCCTTTTCGGGAATGAACATGTCCAAACAAGAGCTCGTCAACTTGATTGGACGTATTGCATTGTCTTCTATGTCAATAATCATTTATTTGGTTTCAGATGTTATTGGCCCGGGCCAAGCGGGTATGCACGGAGTCTCTACAACGCACCATTTTCTACATCGATCAACGCAAGGATATGCTTTTGGGGTGAAAAAGCTGCAAAGTAGGTGTCTGCTTGCGAGGCACGATGTTAATACTCAGAGCCGCTCATGTTCCTGTCTGGTCAACCGGGCAAGCTGCTAATACCGGGCAGGTCATTTTTAGTCAGTTATATTGCGTTAATTAAGCGTTAATATAGTAACACACAAACCTAGCCGTTAGTTGGATCCATGTATTTCTCTCACAGTATATCAGTGACCCTGTCACTATTTCTGTCTGCCAGACGCATTGTTAGTGTCTCAGATTGCCTTCACGACACCTGGTGTCCCTATGTCATTGACACTTTGAACAGCCAGGGCTCTGGCTGTTCACGGTCTTTTTATCTTTTCTAATTTGCATTCGCTCTTTCTACATTTGCTGACAAGCGTTCTCCCTGTCATTCACTCCCGGCAGTTCCAGGGTGGAATGCGGAAGGATGTTTAACCGAATGCCACTTTGCTGGATGTAAAAGAACGGAAGGTTTTTGCCGTCTTGCGCGGATGTCGATTGGTATTTTTGTGTGGGCCCCCAACGTTGGCTTGCCCCCCGCAATATTTCTGGCTCGAATAAAGCACAAGTATAGGGGAAAGGTGACCATCACTCAAAGACTACCTTCTTTGGGCATTGTTTGCTGGGCGTCACTGCAAGACCAGATCCAGAAATTTCGATGGGGGGCGGGTTGTCTACAAGGTTTTTTTGTTTTCTAATTTGTTTCTTTTATCGCCAATAGAGCAGCACTCCCCTAACAGGCGAAGTCACTTAAAATGCATTGCACGCACGCTCGCACGCTCGCACGCACGCACGCACGCACGCACGCACGCACGCACGCACGCACGCACGCACGCACGCACGCACGCACACACGCACGCACGCACGCGCGCGCGCGCGCGCGCACACACACACACACACACACACACACACACACACACACACAACACACACACACACACACACACACACACACACACACACACACACACACACACACACACACACACAAGCGCGCGCGCGCGGGCGCCCCCCGGTGGCCGGTTGAACACCCTTCGCTCGGGTAGGGGTCAATTTGACCCCCTGAGATCTAAGAAAACTAAGAGAACAACAGACACCAAATTAGAGGCACCAAATTCACAGAGGATGTTCAACCTGTACGTGAACACACTTGTCAAAGGTTGAAGCTCCTAGGTCGTGACCTTCGGATCAATTAGGTCAAACAAGGTCAATCTCCAGGTTAGCGTCCAAAGTGCCCCAAGACCTAGACACCTGTTCTAAGCAAAAGGTCACGTGCCCATTTAAGGTCAGTCATCTTCTTTGATCTTTCGACGGCCACGGTGATCAAAACAATACAAGGCTGATTTAAATTTTGCATTTGAATAAGCGACACAAATTACGCTAGGCAGAACGTTTTTGAAATATATTGTTAACATGGGTCGTTGTAGGTCAGTGACCTGTTCTGATCTTTAAGAGGTCCGGGGAAAATGTATAATGCGGTTCCTGCTTTTGATAAATTCGAAATGAGCACCAGAAACCAGTTCATGCAGCAAGCCCTAGATCAATTAAACATACCATTTTTTTTAACTTGCTGTGACTTTGAAACCTAGCCTTAGGTCAATGTCAATTGTTCACTCAATTGTTGTGTTGCCTAAGAAAGTATTTCAGAGATGTATGGCTTCGTCTAACACTTCGTTGTTGCAGCAGATTGAAGGATTCCCTAAAAATTCACTTCGCTGAACCCATGGCCTGACTGTTTGACCTGACAGTGACCTGACCTGACAGTAATTCAGTGGCCTTACAAGGTACACCTAAATTTTTTATGCGACACAATCCGCCACTCGATTGTTTACAGCTGTGCAAAATTTGGCGCAGACTCGCCGCGCAGTTCGAAAAGTGCTTTGTGAAAAACCTTCGGGGGGAGCGGCAAATCGATCCTCCATCCGAGTGTCCGTTTCAGGATGACATTTCCTAGCGGAGTGAAGATGCTGCAGATTAAAAACATACTTGATCACTTGAACTCTAAAGATGTCAAAACTGTCGCGAAAAATATCCGGGCTGGTGTTGTTCGCTAAGAAATCGTTCCCAACGCTTGACAGTCAGCAAAACAGACCGCTCTGTACTGTTTGTATACAACTGCGCGGTACTCGCCCCGGGAGATGTCTCGCAGAAAGAGTAAATCGTGTTGCACCCACCGTGCTGGTGAGGATGGAATTCTGAGACGAAGCAGGAGTTTGTCATAAGAAAGAGAAGCTGTTCGCCCGGAGGATGTGAGCGAGTAACCAATTACGAAACCTGTGCGGCACTCGATCGACCCGCACTGTGTAGGTATTGGCCGCCCCGTCCAGATCACGCTGCAATATGCTAAAACCGAACAAACGTTTGCAAAACACGCAGCCACCACAGCGCTTCGGTCGAATTTTGACCAGCTGGTACCGACTAAGAAGGACGGAATAAAGGGACTAAGTGCTCGATCGCGCTTACTGACTATGCCGAAGACATGTGTAGCGAAGGTTAGTTGGTATCCGACATCACGCCAAGGTCCCTGATTTTACACGCATGTTCAAACTCAGCTCCATTGATATAAACCTTGGTCCGAACGAAAACACGTCTGACTGTCATCGTGAACGCTTTACATTTTGTAGGGCTGAGGGTCAGCCCCCACCTGACCGACCACGCTACCAGAGGATCGAGATTATTCTGCAGCAGCAGTCCATTAGCTGGGCACATAATTTTATGAAAAAACTACGCCGCTGGCGTACAAACGTCAGCCGGATACAATGACGCATGAAAGATCATTAATAAGTAGTGCAAAAAGGAGCGGAGCCAAGAGTGGTCATACCGGGACGCCGGAGGTCACCAGTGTCCAATCGGAAGTTTTTCCGTTAACGACAACCCTCTGACGTCTGTCGGACAGGCGGCTGAAGGTGCGTCAGCTGCAATCAAGACGGTACCGAGCTTACACAAAAACCCAGATTTTGCACAGCTTGCGGCTGCACTGTTTTATGAAATGGCGGAAACAACACGAGATGTAGGTGTGCACGCGGCTGATAAAACTCGATGTAGTAATTAGCCAAGTACTAGTGACCCGAAATGTGTATTGGTCGAATGTCAATATTCCGAAATGGGGCTTACGTGGAGGGCGATTATAAAGTTGGAAAGCGCTGAATGACCAATTAACCAGATGCAATTCTATCAAAAGGTGAGTTTGACAAACGGCAGTAAGAAGGATGTATACTCTACGAATAGTCTTTTCGCCGACCTCATGGTGTAGAAATGTGAATGGAAAGACCACAAGTTTTCGGAAATGGTAACCCCAGCGAAAATATCTTGTGACACGTTTTACAGTTCACAACCAAAGCCTCTGAGCTTATTCTGTCTACCACTTGTTAACGACATCCTGACCCATAAACATCCATTTAAGAAATCTTTGTTTGATTAGCATGAGATTACAAAACCTTTCGGGGAAATAAGCTTTCGGCTAAAGAGGAATTCTGAGGCTAACGTTGAAACAAAGAACATCTTGCGTAATTAGCTTTCCATTTAGGAGCATTTCGACAAGTAAGCATGCGTTTAAATGTTACTGCAGCAATAAAAGCCGGCTAGAGAACGTTTTGGACCTCACTCTGCTCTTCCTTATGATATACGGTAGGCATGACAGGTCAGCAATGGATCAGGAAATGAGGAGTAGCGTAGAATGACGCTTGTAAAAGTTACAACGCAAATACGCAACGTCGTGACTGTGTTTTTCTCCGAGCGTGCATGGTGTGGATCTGGCAGCAAGTTGTACCAAACTTTCCCAACCTTTGCAACCAAAGGCGGAACAGACACCGAATATATCAGAGACAGCAAACACGTATGGCGCACTGAATCCTATTCAAATACTTTTTGCTGGTTCGTCAGATGATTAACGGCAATGACAGCTCCAACGTTCTCATTGCTCAACCTCAGTATCATTCTCAACGCTCTTAATCTTTATTCCGTCGCCAAGATATGCCACTGGCTGCTACCACCATCCTAGACATCTCCACTACATCAAACGGATCTGATGTCAGGGTTTGCCCATATTTCTTAATGATGTCGTAACAATGCTTGCACCCTGGATCCACCCGACATAAGACATGACAAATCCGATCATCGCGTCTTCGGTGCACTTGTGGTATGGCCTCCGAGACTAATGACAAGCGATTGGAGCGAGGGTGGGGTGTCTCTCTGACGTTTTTTTGTGGAGCTCGACTAGGCCCGGCCCTATGAGCAGTACATGGTTGAAAATGTCGTTCAAACCCCGGTGACCTCGTCCCAACGTCTGATGGCAGGATGGCTACAACAACGCCTCGGGTTGCACCGGGGCGGTCTCGACACACCAGTCTGTAACTGGGAAATACCATTATTTTGTTCGTGAGGGGATGCGAAAGCCACGTGACACATAATGTCAAGCTTTTGCTCACGAAGAGGGACGCTGAGTCTACCTTAGGCACCAGTGATTGGACATTCGATTGACCGGTGACTGGTTTATGTACCGGCTCACCAGAGCGGGTAGTCTGACTGCTGTTGGACAGGTCACGGGTCTGACGAAGGGAGGGTCGAGCCGGTCGTGCAAGGCGGCGCGGGGCATGGCCCGGGTGCTGAAGGGGACGACTTCATCGGCGTGGGATCGGTTGCTTGTTGGCTTAGACGTGTTTTGAGGTTCGGCGATGTTCGTTAGCTACGTATTGGTGGTTTACGATAACCGGAATTGGTTTAGTCGGGTTGAGCTTTTTGTTTAGTCTTTGTAATGGTTTGGTAGAGCGCACAAAAGTAGTTCTAAATGTAGGAAAACACATCCTGATCTTTCATTTTCTTCCGCAGAGGGACCCCAGGAAAACAGATGTCGTGGAAGGGCAGGAAGGGCAAATGCCGTGGGAAACTCTTCCTCGTTCCTTTGGTGTCCAGACCGCAGCTTATCGTTATGGCCGTGTTGTACTTCATGATTCATTGCATTTTTCAGCTGTCTGAATGATGGCCGTGCCTCTCGTTTCAGTCTCCACGATGGATCACTCGGCGACCTTAGAAAGAGCATTAACTGTGGTAGGACACATCAAACATGGAGCTTCGCACACTCTATCTCTTGCCCTTCTGAACCGGAGTAAGTACCTGTGTTTTAATGAGCGTATATATGTGTGATGTCGAGCAACTTCATGCACGATGTGTAAGGGCTTTGGGGATTTACAATATTTGGAATACTTTTTGTTATGTTGCTGTCGAGTGCCAGTTCGGGGGACGCGCACACGCGGTATCGCCAGGTACGAGGCCGTATTGATGCCGACAAAGCAATGACTAATTACTGGAAGTGTGACGTAGTGTTTTGTGAAGATGATTTGTTTTCACCATGTCACATGATGGTGCAATGAGGGTGATGAAACCCCGTGACAAATGTGGGCACATTGTACAAGGATCGTTGGCTCGAGACTGCCTACCACTCCATTTGCATCTTTGTTCTTGTGCATGTTGTTGCAGAAGGCAACAGTGATGGAACAGTGGTTACGCGTCGAAAGCAAAATTGAAATGGCTGTAGTCCCGCTGTAACGTCTTCTCCGACAACAGGTCCGTTCCCGAGAATGTTCCGGCTGATGGCACACGTTCACAAAACTGCCGCCTTCCACGAAAACCTGACCTTCTACCATGACCAGGAAAAATTCCGGAAAAGTTCCATCCGTCAACGCCTTTTCGTAGATAGTGCAGGGGCGATGAAAACTACATCCAGATAGTCGATGTACCACGAAAGACCGCTTAACTGTCTGATCCCACAAATGTTTAGTTTCGGCTCTAGCGTATGACCTACGGCATTCAGCGTGCGCACGAACGCGGCGAATCGGTTTTGTTTCCGCACTTTCTTGCACAAACTCGCGGGTGTGTCGGCTGTACATATCTTAAAATGGTTGTGGCTTGAGATAAACGACCGCATTCGACGGAATACAATTAACAGTCTCCACAGTGTTTCCTCTACTGGTGATCCAGGCACGCCAACGGTCAGGATTAGGTGAGAAACAGACCACAAAAGCGAAAATACGAGCGCAGACACGGGCTGATTGCGGCAGGCGCATTTGCGACTTAGTACATCTGAAACCAATGGTTTACGAGTTACGGATGATACGAATTACACCATCAAGCCGCGTTCACAATGGATCAATGCACTGATTTTTTCGTATTCTTTATGCTTCTATGAAGTGTTAGTATACATTAAACCCCCTGACATGAAAAAGATTGCTTGCATGGAATGTCATGAGCACACAAACAGTAAACCACGTGTAGCCAACAAAGCATAAGCTTTGTTCAATTGAGCGAGGCCCTTTATATATATTTCTTCACCTAATGCCTTCAGCTCACCCAAATTATAGGAAGATACTACGCATGACAATCAATAGCGTGTATCGGGCGAGCGCGTTGGGTGCTGGCTGAGCCATGGTTGTTTATATTGTTGGGGTGTGCTTAAACCATTCTCATTTGCTCGGCACTCAAGAACATTTGTAATTATTTCCAAAGACAGTATTAGAAAGAATACTGATACAAGGGAGGCTTCATGATTGTTTAGTTCTAGTGCAACATTGACGTTGTAATTCACTGACAACGCCGATTAAACCATGCTTTGATTTGGACTGCAAGATCCATGGCTTTGTCCTCGAGTTCCCTGTCGTATCCGAAGCATGAATACAAACCCGATTCCCGCAGCAGTTGAGTATTACGGTGGATGATGTTTGGAACTGGCTTGAAACTGCCCGTACGCAATCATGCTGCTCCCCATTTGAACGCCTCCAAAGCCTCACTTCAAAGCTTCACTTCACGTCTAGAGTGATCTTTCAACAGGGCTGTTTGGCATCGAAATACAAGCTTCATTGGAGGTATGTTGGTACCAGGCGTTGTGCTAGGAGTGAGTAAGGTAAATGTGTTAATGCATAAATGGTAATATTTTTTCTTGATCCGGGGTGTTTGAGCCATGCTTGCTACCCAACCCTCTTTTAAAAGAAATCACTCATTCCACCCCTGATAGGTTTCGTTACTCTTATTTTTGACAATACAAAGTGCGTACATCTTAAATGCCTGTGTGATACAGGTACTGAAAGTGAGGAACAAGACTCAGGCTGTGAGGCTGTGTATTGAACTCTTGAGTAAAGTTGGGCACTGTTTAAATGTCAGGTGCTAACAGCATTCTAACTTTTTCCGAGAGTTTAGACCACACCACGTGAGCAGGTGATTTCCAGTTCAGTCTTTGCCCGAGATGACGTTAGAACCACCCTTGATTTTGATGAAAAATCGAATTCGGAAACAGCTTTGTCAATAGGAGAGGGGTCTTTCCAATCTGTCTACTAAGTAATGTAAATTGGAGTAAAGAAACTGCATAAAAATCGTCACCAGTCCTATTGTCTTGCATTGAACTAAAAATGCAACATTCTCAAACTGTTCCTAGCATCCTTTGCGGGGTTGCCATGATGCAAGAGGAAATGCCTGCAGCAATGGCATAGCTTTGCAAAACTGTGTCCCTGTTAAACTTTGGGGGGGGGGGGTTGAGCACTGAAAAACAACAGAACCAACCCCCAGATACGCCAGCAAATGGATTACTCCCCGGATCTGACCAAGCCTTTTCTCAAAGTTTGGCGGGGGGGGGGGGGGGGAGGGGCTGACGCCCAAGTTGGGAGTCGGAGAAAATCACACCTGCTTTGCAATTGGACCCATTGCTTCATTGTTGTTGTGAGGTGTGAGAATGCCGCACAGGTGACTGTGCTGAACTGTTTATTGAAATTTATCAAGTGGTGCTGATGCAATGGCATGCGGCTGTTGGCCACATTTCACACCTCTCCATCCAAAATCACATGAGATCATACATTTTTGAAGATGGTGGTGTATTTTGAAATTAGACGTTTCGGTCAGCGCAATATATGTTGATGAAAATATTCAGTGGTGTTTGCAAAACTCTGTACCGAATCCAGTTGATGATACAGCTACATGCAAACTAGGATACATATAGATGCTTGAATGCGGCCATAACCACAGACACAAGTATGCATGATGCGTGTCGATAGCATCTAAAGCTAATCGTGCTATGCTACGATTCTCATTTTTCCTCGTCTTCACTCAATTCACATTCCATTACCTTACCGGAAACGCAGTCAGTGCATAGCACACAAACCTGCTTCTGCTGACCAAAGACATCTTAATTATGCAGCAGTACAAGAACATAAAGATGTACACCGTCCACAGACATGTAGCCAGGCATTTAGCCAGGTCACTACCAGGCCTGATAACAATGTCACAGAGCGGCACGGACGAACACTGCCGAAATTGGTCAGGGGTGGCAAAAACCGGCTACAGAAGCTGAACTGTGCATCGCCACGGCTATGTACAATCACCGGTGATAGATGAGCTAAGGCCATTCGTGCCGGCCCCAGTTATGAGCGCTGATGCGCCGTTAGGTTGTCAAAGTGGCCTGGGCGGCCACGTGGCCGGGGATCACCCCAGGTCCAGTAACGGACCTCCGTACAGGCTAGATGCCAGACCAGCCAAAACAGCAGAAGCGTGGTACGCATGACATATAGAACATAGAGTGTCGTTGTCAAATCTATTCAGGATAAAAAAGTCTTGATGCGCTCGGATAGCCGCCCGTGATCAGTAAACGAGACCTTTTTCCGGCGAGCATATCAAACAATCTTACTAAGATGTTTCCTCTGGACTACAGTCAATAATAAACTTGTTACAATTCCACAATACCACATTGACTTTAAATGGGAGATCATGTTTTGCAAAGATTATATCGGGGGATGAAAACAATGATCCTTGACGTCGGGAAAAACAATTTAAATGGTTGAAGTGGGGAGATAAATCAGGTTTTGGGGTAGGTTTAGTTAACCTTATTGGTTGAGCCCTCCACAACCCGATTTCGATAAGCAACATCCCTGGTGCTAGCCACCGAGCTCGAGTGTCAGCTATCGGTGACCTCGGCCGTCCGGCCAAGGTCACCGCCAGGTGGCGTCCAGGTGAGCGGTGCGCCAGGGACCAGAAAGGCCTCCCCACACACTTCTGGGAAAACTGGCGGTGGCAGGGAGGAGGCGGATTCCACCCAAATTGGCTACAGCTACAGGCGGTTATGAAATTCCAGTATGTGGTAGAAGAAAGACGGCTTTCTCCAGCAATCTGCAGGAACAAAATTTTGCATTGAGTGTTTGGAGGTTGAACCGCAAAAAATCTGAGAACTTCCGCTCTCTCAAAGCCGCCACCGTGATTTACGCGGGACTTGGCCATTTCTTCTCAGTGGTGGTGAAGGTGGGGAGAGGGAGCGGAAGTCTTTCTATTGTGAGTTGTCGAGGTCTCGCATCTCGCCTGCAGCGAGATGTGTTGCTGGATATGCGTCGGTCCTAAACCGAGCGGCCACCTGTCACTCAGAGCACTCTTAAAAAGGAAACATAAAAATGTCATCCCAGAAAGCGATAGAACAACCAAAACATGTCTTCATATTTCATACACGTGCAAACGTGCATCGCTTGCGCTGTTTTGGCTGGTTTTGCATTTAGCCTGCAGGGAGTTCTTTTACTGGACTAGAGCAATTCAGCTAAAGTTGCGCCTCATAATGCGTGAGTATGGACCCAAAACGATGATACGGTCGCTGCAGTTCTGGAATTTGAACATCTACGTGCACATGTGCTACGTTTGTACCAGTTGTGTGGTCTTTCAACTAACTTGTGGGAAGCTCCGTTGTTGGACTAGAAACAATTTTCGACCGAGCGACCGTCTGTCACTCAGAGCAGTTGAAGAGAGACGCTTAACAATGTCGGCTACCAAAGACATTAAATGGCCGACACCTGCCTCCGTATGACACATGTGTACGCACGCGCCACCTTTGTGCCGTTTTGGCTGGTGTTGCACCCGTTCTGCAGGGAGGTCTCTTAAAGGACTTCGCGCAATCTAGCCGAAGTGGCGACTCCTAATGTGTGAGAATGGGCCCGAAAGCAACGAGACGGTCGTCACAGCTCTGCTATTTAAGCATGCTTGTATTCGTGCCACGTTTGCACCAGATTGGGCGGTCTTGCACCTGATTTGCCGCGAGGTCCGCTGTTGGACTTGACGATTTTCGACCGGCCGGCTGCCAGCCATGGAGACCGCTTGACATCTGCAATCCCGAAGGTGACAGCATG